TTAACTTCATTACTATTTTAAAAATTAGAACATATTAGTTTTTTTTCAATAAAATTTTATTAAAACCATATAATTTTGAGGTTTTTTTACTTAATTTTTTTTGTAATACAAGCTAATACTTATTTTTTTGTAATTAAAATATTAAATTTTTATTAATATTAGTTAAATAAATTACTATTAAATTAAAAATAATAATAATAACTCTCTCCATGGTTTTTTTTCAATACTTTGTTCATCATTAGAGGTGAACTTAATTTTGTTCAATTTCAAATTATTCAATATTAAAATAAATTTTTTTGGTTTGATTAATTCAGTTAAAAATTTAATTAATGGAAATATTTCACTTCAATTAATGATAAAAGATTTTTTTTACTTAAAAAGATTAAAAGAGATTTGTTAATTGAATGAACCATATTAAAAAAAAAAAATCAAATCTTTAGTAATCAAAAATTGAAATTTTGAATTGGGTTCATCTATTAAAAAAAAAAAACCTAATCAAAGTAATAAAAGATACAATAGAGTTTCACTTATTGTTCTTTTTTTTTTTTTAATATGTATTTAATGAAAATTAATGAATACTTAATATTTTAATTATTCATCAAAAAAGAATATTGTGAATTTTTCAAAAAATTATAATATATATTTTTACTTATATAATACTTAAAATTCAGCTTTTATTTAATTCAAAGAAAAAGTCTAATTAACCCAATATATAAAAGAATTTTCAAAAAAAAAAAGAGTCAGTTCATCATGTACATATAATTCATTTTAAAAAGACCGACAACTAAGAGGTGGCCCTCTGTCTGGCCTATCTTGATTCTGTGCTGACATGGAGGACTTATTAATATTTTGATGCGGAAACTTGCTTCCAGTGCATTTGAATGTGAAACAATTCCTATAGAGAAATAAAAATAAGTCATAAAAATTATTAAGAAAAAGGTACCGGAGGCCGATGTTATTTTACCACACTATTCATCTGGGATTGCTTATTAAAGTTTAGAAAATACATAATCTAATTATTATGGTAGGGGAATGAAAAATTAAATTGTCTTTCACATTAAAAACATTAAGATATTTAATAATAAATATATAATAAATTTAATAAAACTAAAATTTACATTATCCTATGCATAATTAATAATTTATTTTTTTATATCATATAGCACATTATTCTCCAACATTACATGAGGATTTAAAAAAAAAAAAAAAAGTTAAAGTAAAATAGAAGGTTACATTCTTTTGTGATTGTAAAATAAAAGAGTACTATGTCATGCTACTGTCATAATTTTTATTCATCAATTACACACCCACAAACCAAACAGGATGCTCAAACGAGGAAAGGTAGGGTTCCCTGTGGATTCATCCTCCTTTGAAGCAATTTAAAATATCTTTTGGAAATTTCTAGTTCTTAATAAATTTGGAAAGACGGGAGAAAAGTGTCCCGTGCGGATTCATCCTCCCATTCTAGCTCATTCCACCACTGTTGCTTTCCTATAATGATGATTCTACGCCCTTTTGCGCTGTTGGAACTAAGTGGAATTTTCCTCAGCTTTGGACAATCAAATACTCTAATTGCAACCAAACATGGGAAGGAAAGTGCAAACCTGTGAATCCTCTTCAATTCTGGTAGAGAAGATAAAACCAGATTTTGGAGTTTCTCAAACAAGATAAGATCTCCGGTCATCTCTGCAGCTCCACCCTCACTAATTATTTCTTCCATTCCACGGCAGTCAGAAACAAAGAGATTTCTCAGATTTGGGGCAAAAATGATCCATGTAATGTCCTTTAAATTTGGGCAGAACTGTATCTCGACCGTCCACAAATTGTAGAAGTTTCCTTCACTTACAATCACAGAGGTTTGAAAGTAATATGCTGTCTGTATCTCTCTTCCTTCCTTTTCCCAATCGATCTTCACTTCTTCCAAACTTGTCAATTCCAATGATAGAAATTGAAGCCGCTTCATAGGTGGTAAACATAAAGTTTTCAGCGAAAAGAAAGAGTCATCCTCCGGTTGATCAATGTATAATTCTTCTGTACAACCCTGTAAGTGGTGAAAACTTAAGAAACCTTCAAGAGCAGAGTCACTACAAATAGTTATTGTTAAGGCATTCAAATATTTCAAGCACTCCAAGCACTCAAGTCTGCTGAAGCTGAGATTCCCATTTATCTCTCTGCTGGCCCAATAACCAGTCTTCCCCATCCGCAACACTTGCAGCCTTGAAAAACTATAAATTAGTTTTTCAGGGATTGTCTCAAGACGCAATGTTCTCTCCAAGTTCAAACATTTCAACTTTGATAAGCTACTCAACTCCATCGGCAACTCGCTTATAAAAGTACGACTGATATTGAGACACTGCAGGGAATCTAAATTTGAAATTCCCACTGGCAATTCTGTTAAAGACAGATTGGATGATAAGTTCAAAACTGTTAGACTGACCATATTTTGGAAAAAGTCCTTGCCTAACCTCATTGATAGCAACCAATTATTTTCAAGAAATAAGGTTTGGAGATCAGGACAATCAGGTGCTCCCCTTAGACTCTGAATCCCATTGTTCATCAATGACAATCTTTTTATCATCCCCCAATTTTCAATCTCCAGTGCTTCAGTTAATTGGGCACTAGTTTTCACTATATATTTTTCCTTTTCAATTTCACTTGCTATCCACAAAGCCATGTCACGAATCACATCATGCATCTTCACCTGCTCAACATCAACTTCTTCTAATAAACATGAGCCAAGAAGAGTACAAATAATGTTATGGCCTTCATTGCGATCACAGATAATGTCATCTTCATCTAGAAATCCTTCTGCAATCCAATAGTCTATCAGCTCACATTTGCTTATCAGAAAATCTTCTGGAAACAAGGCGCAGTATAAGAAGCATGATTTGAGCTTGTCATCAGGCAAATTGTCATAACTGAATTTCAACAGTGGATACACGTCTTTCCTCATACCTGGAAGTACATGATTAGCAACTGACCTCCTTAGAATCCGTCTTGCATATTCCCATTGTTCAAGTGTCTTCTTGGATGACATAGCCCGACCTACAGTGATGAGGGCAAGAGGCAGACCCTTGCACTCTTCCGCCATTTCCTTTGCTAGTCCTCGGATTTGCGGATGGCCATCAAGGGTTTCTTCTCCAACTTTTATTTGAAACAATTCCCAGGCTTTCTCCGGCGCCAAACAATCTACCACAATCTTCTCATGAGCTTCCATTTGACCACACACATCAAGAGAACGAGTAGTAAAGATAAGCTTGGAACCATTTCCCTGTCTTGGAATAGGTATCCCAACTTTAACTAAATCAACTCGTTCCCATATGTCATCCAAAAGCAACACAAATTTCTTTTTACTCAACACTGCAAGGATGTCAGTAGCTTTTTCATCATAACTTTTTTGTTTCCATCTCTGATCACTATAACCAATCTTTCCTCCAATCTCATCTTGAACTTTCTCGACAGTGTGATTTTTAGACACCGTTGCCCAAATCACAATATCAAAATTATTTCTTCTCCGTCCCAGCTCATTGTTGATATGATTTAAGAGAGTTGTCTTCCCGACTCCGCCCATGCCATAGAGGCCAATGATGTTGCTGCCTTCATCAGTAAGGCATGCCCAAACCTTGTCAAATGTTGACTCCAAACCCACTGTAGGCTCACTGGATCTTACAACCACTGAAGCAGCTGGGCACCTCTCAGCAACGTCTTGAAAATCTCCTTCGGTTCTTAGATTAGCCACATCTCTAGTCTTTTGTACTACTTTTTTCCCAAACTTGTAGCTTGAACAGCAGCTCTGCGAAAAGTAACCTCCAAGGCACAAATTATCAATTTGCGCAGGAGCATCTCCTATTATCTGCTCAACTTCTTTTATCTCTTTCTCCACTCTTTCAAGCCATCCTTCTACCCTTTTAAGGGGCTCCATGAGCTGCTCCTTCGCAAGAAGAACCCTCCTATTTACGTCATCTCTTTGCTCTGTCAATCTTTTTGCCTCAGCCTCCAATGCTTGAAGATTTTGTTCAAGCTTACAAATGTATCGTGCTTGTCCAGCAACACAGTTCCAGCATCGACAACCAGCTGGATCTACCGAGATTGAGATTGAGAGACAGTTACCCATGGTTTGCTCAATAGTTGATTGAGAGAGCTTCAAACAAAGGTTTTTTCTTCTGAAAAAGGTGAGAATTAACTATA